GTAATTATATTTCATAAATGTGACAAAAATTTTTTTAGGCATCATCTTTGTCAATTAATTATCTTAATCAAGAAAAGCCAGGTTCATTCAAGGCCAAGTCAGAAACTGCTTCAGAATTAATTTCTAATGATGACTCAATTTCGGATATAAGTTCTACTTCTTCCGAAGTACGAATCATAAATTAACAAATAGATGGTCTTCATCCGAAACCCAAATCTTAATTGAAGAAGTAGGAAAGCAATATAAATCATTACAGCAAGCAAAAGATGCAAGGGAAAAGGGTCATATTTGGGATAAGATTGTTTCAAGTATTCAAGCTTCTGCTCCAAATTCAACTTTAAAAGAGCATTCAAAAAACTTGATTCAGCAAAAGTGGGATTCCATTCAACAAAAGTATCGAAGTATAAAGGATGTTATTAAAAATACAGATGAAGAAGCTATACAAAATGAGTGGGAGTTTTTTAATGATGTGGAAACCTACTTGAAAGATGACCCAAGCATTACTGCTCATGTGACTAGCAATTCAATCCATGGAATTAAACGCTATAAACCTGATAATAATGATAATAATACAAATGATATTAACAATGAGGTAATGGTTATTATTATGTTTTTTCCTAAATTGGAATCGTCTAAAGCCAGGTAACAATTTATATATGCATCACATAACTTTTACTTTATTAATCAACTTTAAAAACTGTCTGGTTTTAACCAATCCCTAAATTGGTATGTGTTGGTTTAATTATTTTGTTTAATTAATATAGATTGAGATTAATATTAATTTCAAAAAAAGAAAAAGACCTGATTTGACGATGAAAAAAAATATATCGACGAAATTTTAACACATATCAACAAGCAAACAGAAGTAATTGTTGAAACCATAAAGCATCAATATTTGCATACTAGTGAGGTTCAGCAAAAACTACATAATGAGCAGATGGAAATTTTTAAACAATTTCTTATGAAATTTTAAAAAAATACATTTTAAATTATAGATAATGGTAATAATCACGAGTAGTTATAAAATATTAATTGCTTTGAGCTAAAAGATTAGCTAAATACTCTCTTTTCAGCATACCCACTATTTTTTCTCTTCCCACATTTGCAATAAAGTTTGCTTCATTTTTGTCATCAATAATTTCATTGCTTTCATTATTATTACGTATTAACAATGTCATCTTCAAAGTTACTATTATTATCCATTTCATCATCATCAAGTAACCATAAATCATTTCTATCAATGCAAAGATTATGTAAAATGCAACAAGCATGAATCACTCAAATAATTCGTTCTAAATCTGTGCAGTAAACTTTGTTTGATAAAATTCACCATCTCCCTTTTAAAAGTCCAAATGCTTTTTCAATACTCATTCTCATTGAAGAAAGAACCTTGTGAAACTGTCGTTCATGATTTGTTAATGTTTCATGATCCGGAAATGGTTTTATTAAATAAGTTTTAAGGGGATATGCTGGGTCAGCAATAAGATAAGACCCTCGGGAACTCATCATTCAGGATTATAAGAAATCTCATGGTAGAGTGAAGATCGATAGAATACACATGCATCATGCAATTTTATTGAATCCAGTAAGAGTTAGAACTGATCTTCAAACCAGAATTTCATGACACAAGGCTGATAAACTCTTAC